GCGTCCGGTTCTTGTGGAGGCCGCGCTGTGAGCGCTCCCCTTGCCCCGGGAGAGCCGCCAGCCTCTCGCCCCCGCGCCCGCAGGCCTCTGGCCCCCGCCGCCCCAGCCCCCGGGGCCTGTTCCCCACGTGCCACCGGCCTCGGCTCCCCGCTCCCGGCCTCGGTCTCCCCGCCGGCGCGGCGCGGGCTGCAGTGCGCGCGATGGCCGCGCGGGGCCGCTGCGGCGCCGCCTTTGTGGTCCAGCGGCGGCGGGCGGGGCGGCGGCGGGCGGAGCGCGTCCCCAGCCGAGTCGCCGCCGCCGGCCCGCGCCCGCCATGGCCCGCCTGACCGAGAGCGAGGCGCGCCGGCAGCAGCAGCAGCTCCTGCAGCCGCGGCCCTCGCCCGTGGGCGGCAGCGGGCCCGAGCCCCCCGGGGCGCAGCCCGACGGCATGAAGGACCTGGACGCCATCAAGCTGTTCGTGGGCCAGATCCCGCGCAACCTGGACGAGAAGGACCTCAAGCCGCTCTTCGAGCAGTTCGGCCGCATCTACGAGCTCACGGTGCTCAAGGACCCCTACACGGGCATGCACAAAGGTGGGCGCGCCCCCGCCCGCGCCCCGCTCCGCCCCACCTCGGCCCCGGCGCCCATCCCCTGCCGCCCCCTCCCTCCGCCGCCTCTGCCTGGCGTCCGCTCCCCTCCGCCCACCGCCTCCCCCGGGGGCCGCTGCTGAGCCGAGCTGCCCCCTCCCCTCCGCCCCCTCCCCGCCTCCCACCTTCCTGCCGCTCGGCTGCCTCTGCCTCCCATCCTGTCCCAGGCAGCCTCTCCTCGGTCCCGTCCTGCCCGGCTCCCTGGACCCCCACCCTCTCCTCCCTCCCTCCCTCGCCCGCTCCGGAGCCGCCTGGACGCCCGCCCTCCGCCCCGCTCATTCCCCGGCCCAGGCCCCGTCGGGGAAGTTCGCACCTCGGACTCGATCGCTTGGGGATTTTCACAAAGCCGGGCGGCGGGCAGGTCGGCCGCCGTGGGGACGCGGATGCCCAGGACCCCGGGCTGAGCCCCATCGGTAACTACAAAGAGGGCGGGCGGGGGGCCGGGGAGCGCCGCCTCCCCCCGGGCTGCAAACGCCCACGTCCTCCGCTGCCCGCCGCCTCCGTGGCCGGCGCCCCCTCCGCCGTGTCCTGGCCCTCCCCCTCCCTGCGTCCACCTTTGGCTCAAGTTAAACCTGGCCCGGCCTGTGGGGTCCGAGGCCAAGACAATGAACCCCAACTGTTGGACTGGGCAGAGCCCCAGTCCTGGGGTGGACGAGGAGGAGGGAGGCGTGGGCGGCCTGGAGGCAGGTGGGAGGGAGGTGGCCCGCCGCCCTTCCTGGCTTCTCTGTCTCCTGGCATCTGGGGGGGGGGGGGCGGGGTGCCCAGCGGTCCTGGACCCAGCCCTTGGCTCCGATTGTGGGTCCAGTGTCCTAATGTGGGTGTTTGACAAGCTTTCTGTCACGTGCCGGGGACCCAGTGGGGACTGCCAAAGCCATATGCTGAACACATCTGGGTCCCCATCCTCCAGCCAGACCCTGGGGGGCCTTAGAGATGGACGAGGGCCGTGACCTATTTCAGACCCAGTGCCGGTCTGCCCCAGCTGCTCCAAACCGGGGCAGGAATGCGTGGTCCGGAGGGGCATTGAGGGACAGGTTCAGGCCGCAGGCGGGATGGACCCCAGGCTTGTCACCGCAGCCAGACGCCCACCTGGTATTGGGGGGAGGGAAGAACCCCTTCAACCCATCTCTTCAGAACCAATACCGCCCCCCAAACGGGGAACTGGGAAATCTAATGCCTTGGTGTGGCCCAGGAGGGCAGAGGGTGCACGGGGGGGGCATCGTTAGGCTCCGGGTCCCTGGCTGAATGGACCCCCCACATGGCCATTTCTAGGAGGATCCTGTTGGGAGGGGGCCATCCACGTGGCCCCCAAACCTTGCCTTGAAGGGCTGCTGGGGGTCTGGGCAGGGAGACAGGTGGGGGCTGGGGGCTCGCGGGGCCCCTCCCTCTTTTTCTAATTTTTGAATGGCCTGGAAGCTGGCGGACAGGAGAGAAGGGTCCAGAGGGGCCGCCTGACCTCAGCCATCCAGCAGGCGGTGGAGGCGGGGGCCGTGAATGTGCAGTTATTTTTTTCTGGCTGGAGAATGTTGGGGTCACGGCACCCAGGGGTCTTGGGACTCATGAGCTTTCTGGGAAGGTGGAAATTGAGCACATGATGTCCCTGACAGGTGGCACTCACCTTCCACGTCTTAGGGGTCCTGAGTCAGCGACCTGGACACAAGGCTGGGAGAGACAGGGAGGGGCTTTACTTCCTATCAGAAACAGGCCCAGCCCCGGTGCCCTCTGGGACAGGGGGTCCCCTCCTGTGCAGGGCCTGGCTGCTTGGTGGGAGAGAGTTGGAGAGCAAGAAGGTGGGGTGCTGGGAGCCAGAATCTGCAATCTGGTCCTGCCTTTGGGTTCAGCTGTGTGACTTCTGGCCAGGAGCTGGCCCTCTCTGGGGCTCTGCCAAAGCGGGCTGGAATGATGAATGGGAAGCCAGGGTGCTTGGGAGGAGAAGTCTGGGCACCTCCTGCCAAGCGCTTATCTTATTTGGCTTCATTTCTGGGGAGCCAACAGGCTGCAGCACCCTGTCACCATGGGCAGGCTCCGAGCAGCGGCAGTGGGGTGGACCCAGGCTGGAGGGACCCCTTCCAATGCAGCCAGTCTTCCCGGGGGCGGGGTCCCTGGCTGCTGGGTGTCCTGTGAGGCTGCACTGGGGCAGCTGTGACGGTCACAGAGGATGTACCCCTCGTGTGTCACACCTCAGCTGTGTCCAGGGGTCACTGGGTGTCTCACTTGGCACCACTGTCCAGTTTTTTGGTCTCCCCTCTCCGGTCCTTTAATCCCCGCTGAAGGCTGGTCACTGAGAGGGGCTCCCTGAGCACACACGGGGACACCGGGGTGCAGAGGCAGACTCTGGTGCCCAGGCCGGCCAGAGCTGGGCCCTGTCCCCCTGCCCCCGCCCAGGCCAGGGGAGCCGAGGTTCATCCCTGTGGCACAGGGGAACAGGTCATCCCCAAGCCAAGGGGTGGCCCCTAGGGTAGCCAGGAGAGGGCAGGACCGTGGTGCCAGATGACCCCTGTCAAGGGTGGGTGGGGGCGCTGGCACTGAGGCCACGGGAAGGCGGGAGGTCAGGCGGCGGCCTGCGTGGGGCTCTGGGCAGGAAGCGGGGGTGCTGGGCCTTGAGAAGCAGGCATGGAACCTGGGAGGAGCAAGACCGAGGGGAGGCCCGGTCAGGAGAAGGAGCCGGCAGGGAGGCCAGGGCCTGGCCCCCAGATCAGGGACTCCTGGCCTACCAGGCCAGGGACTGGGGCTGGGGGCTGCGATGGGTTCCCACGGTCCCCGCGGTCCTGCGCCCGCCCTGCCCGGGAAGGCGCCCGATATAGCGTCGCGCTGCGCAGCCCCCATTTAAGGCACCGCTATGCATTTGCATGTTAATGACAATATTTGTCTTAAAGCGGAGGTGGCGCGGGGCGGCGCACGGTTGCCATGGGAGCACCAGCTGCCGGGGAGGGGGCTGGAGCCGCCGCTGGGGCGAGATCCCCGTGACGCCAGCCCAGCCCCGGGGAGGCGCGGGGCAGGGGCGCGGGGCTGGGGAGCCCGTGCCTGGGGTCTCTGCGGTAGCCGGGTTGGGTCGGCGGGGCCTGGGGCGGCCACCAGGGTTGGGGCTTTGTGGAAGGGACCCTCCCTGGAGGTGGCTTCAAGCCAAGCACACCCAGTGCCCGTGAACCCTCGTGTCTGTGACAGTGCCATCTCCCCACACCCCCCTTTTGTGCCCCTCACTGAGGTGGAGCTGGCCTGGGCTGGAGTCCCCTCCTCCACCCGGGAACCAACTCTGACCTCTGCCCGCCGCCGTCCAGGGGACACAGGGATGGGCAGAAACAGAGAGCTGTCCTGCCATGTCCCAGGCTGCTGGATGTGACCTGTCGCTCGCTGGCAGTGAGGGCCCGAGGCCCTGCTCCTGAGGGTGTGGAGGCCAGGCGGCTTCCTGGGGGCGGTGGGCCCTGGGGGGAGCTGCAGTCTGGCTGCTCTGCATCTTATTGGCTGTGTGTTCCTTGGAGCTGTCTGGGTGTCTCTGACCGCGGTGGGCCTCCCAGCTCAGGGGAAGCCACGGGGCTGAGGACTGGTTTCCCTTCAGCTCCTGGCACATGGTCAGCGCTTGGCCGCGGGGCACTGGACTTGCTTGGTGAGGCTGAGACCTGAGGGCGAGGAGGAGTGCGGGTGGGAAAGCCGCTCTCGCAGAGGGGACAGTAGCGGGGAGCCTCAAGGAGACCCCTGGACGTCTGGGGAGACGCCGCGTTGGAAGGCAGCCGCCTTGGGAGCCCTCCTACGCGGGGGAGCCCCGTGGGGTCCGTTCACCCTCCCCTCAGTCATCCCCTCCGCGGGCACCTCCCAGGAGCACCTGGGGCCTTGCCGTGGACAGCTGGACCTGAGGTCAGAGCCCCACATGACGCCTCCAGCCACAGTGCTCAGGGTGGGCTTGGAGAGGGGACTGGGGTGGGGGACCTGGCTGCGTCACACTGGGGCTTTGCAGGATGGTGGAGTTTTCGAGGTGGAGAAAGCACAGACGGACACTGTATTCTGTTAGGGCCTCTGCTGAGCCAGTGAGGTGGGCGTCTCTGACCTGTGTGTGTGCAGAGGGCCGTGGGCTTGCCAAGGCCTGGACCTCTGAAGGGGTGCTACTGAGTGGAGGGGGAATCAGGCCGGCCTGAGGCTGGAGAGTCAGCACGCTGCACTCTGAAGCTGGACTGAGCCTGCAGTCTTCCCGGAGGGCACTGGGGAGCCATGGAAGAGTTTAGAGCAGGAGAGGAACTCAGACCTGCATGTCCAGATAACTGCCATTGCCACTGCCTCCTCCCAGCCCCCTCCCAGCCTCCCAGCCTTGTTCCAGATCTGCTTAAATCCCGTACCCTGGATGGAAAAAAATGGGGCTCCCTGTTGGGGTGGGCCAGGGTGGCCAGGTGCTGGGTTGCAGGGGTTCCCACGGAACCAGCTGCCCGGCTCCACAAGCAGCAGGTGAGGAGTGGCACAGCAGCCCAGCTGGCCGCGCCTCCCGCCGCGCCTGGCACTGTGGAGGGGCTGAAGGAAGAGACATGGTTTGTGGTTGTGAAAGCAGAGAGAGGGTCAGAGCCCCTCGGGGGAGCTGGCCGTCCTTGACTTCAGGTCACCGGGGCCCCAGGGAGGGGCTGTGAGGTTTGGAAGGCACTGACCAGCGGTAGTCCAGCTGGTCTGAGGCCACCGTCCTGAAGTGGACGGGCAGGGGGGGCGACGGCGGGCGCAGGCAGACGGGGCACAGACAGAAGGCAACAGGCAGATGCGACGCGGCGGGCGGTGGCTGAGGACTTGAGGGATGGAAGGTGAGCGGGGGAGGGAGGCCCTGAGTGGGTGGTCGGACATGATGGAGGGTGTAGGGGCGGACAGAAAGATGGTAGGAAGGCGGATAGCTGGAGCGGGGGGCCAGGTGGCCCGGGAGGCTGAGGCAGGAGGATGGCAAGTTCACAGCCAGCCTCGGCAATGTAGTGAGGCCCTAA